TATAGACTCATTGTGTAGCCTGCTAAAGCCCTAAAACATGTGTGAAATGTTTTCAAACTTGTCAATAATTGTTCAGACACTACAATAAAAAAACCTTAATCATAGAAATTTTATTTTGAAAGGAAAAAAATAGTTTTTTGAGCTAAAATGTGCTTACATCTCATGCCATGTGTCTCTCTTCTTTGGAGGATATGTAAAATGGATGGCTTTTCAAAATTATGTGGTCACATGACCAATTTCTTCTATGGTTTTCCAGAAACAAGGGGTGGATCAACTCAGGATTTCACACTCAGGAACGGACTCTGGGATTTCACACTCAGGAACGGACTCTGGGATTTCACACATTTAGGAACGGACTCTGGGATTTCACACTCAGGAACGGATGGACTCTGAGATTTCACACTCAGGAACGGATGGACTCTGAGATTTCACACTTAGGAACGGACTCTAGGATTTCACACTCAGGAACGGACGAACTCTGAGATTTCACACTCAGGAACGGATCTGGGAAGATCGCTCACTGGATGCATTGTGACCACTGTAACGCTTTAATCCTTGGAGTGGGAATTTTCTGTGCCGGAATGGACTTGGGAACAGTAATCACTGGAAGGGATTCTGGAGCCGTCTCAGGACTGTTGGGAGTGGGGCTGGAATCCTCCGCTGGGCAGCTGGTGTTGATAGCTTTAGTTTTCCAGCACCCACTCTAGAAACTCGAAGAAACTCCACCTAGGACCCATACCGGATAGGCGTGCCTTCATTTCCGCATTCAGGCTGGTCAGGTAGCACGCAGCGAACAGTCTGTAAAGTTAATGAGGCACACCAGTTGTTGAAACCTCCGGGTTTGGGCCTCGAGGGTCTGCTGTTCCTGGTCCAAACACAGCAATTAGACTGCTAGAAGATCCATTTTATAAGGTCTGTCGATCTGTCACGGGTCTTGGTTGCAGCAGAGAAGAAACAGGACCTATATGCAGCAGTCTTTATTAATCACAAACTCAAACTAACAGAAATACTCAGGATACTTTGGAATTTCAAAAAACACGAACTGGGGTGCGTTTCCCGTACAACGACGTAACTCACTGCTTCCCTACCAAAGTATGATGTATAGTTGAAGAAATCAACTAGCTAGTCACGACTGTTTCCCGTTGCAAATTTGTCATTCAACCAGTAATTGAGTAATAACTTCTTTTAATGAATCTGTTTGAGATCGAATTGATGCTAGATGTTTTGCTATAAATTACGAACATGGCATCTGAGGACTATTTCTCATTTTTCTCAGTTATTTTGCTTTATTTCCAGATTCAATCATAGTCGTTATTTACGTACTAGCACGTACGCACATGCACACTCGTAAATGACAGTTGTATGTCTTCTAAATAAAAGATACAGGTTTTACTAAATGTCAGCTTGCTTATTTTGCTCAAGATAAGGATTTATTGAGTCCACATGTCATGCAAACAAGAAACTCTCCTTCTAACCACAGCTCGAGAGCTGTCGCTCCAACCACACGACTTTGCAATGCTGTTTGCGAATGTTCATTAGAACTATGATTTCGGGAAACAGCGATTTGTTGAACTATGCTAATAACAACAGAACTTGCGAACATAGTTGGCTAACGATGCTTTTGGGAAATGCACACAGAACAACCAGGCTTACAGCAACGTCAACAGACAACTACCAAACTCAGGCTTAAATACACAGGCAAACAGGGGAGCTAACAAGAGAATAGACGAGACACACCTGAACAGATAACTATAATCAAATCAGTAACTGTGGAAACAAACAGGTGGGAAACAAAGATGACTGATCTAATAGAACAAACGGAGAAGCCAACTAGAAACACAACACAATGAAAACCAAATGAAAACAGAACATACATGTGACATTAACATTATATCAGTTAATGAATAATTTTTTGATGTAAATGTAAGTTAAATCTGTGAAACCTAAAATGTTGCTACCATATTTTTATGGTAAATTTCTGGCAACCACAGCTGCCAGCTTTTTTCTTTCTTTCTTTCTTTCTTTCTTTCTTTCTTTCTTTCTTTCTTTCTTTCTTTCTTTCTTTCTTTCTTTCTTTCTTTCTTTCTTTTTTACAGTGTTATGTTGATCGGATAGTTTAGGGAAATGTTTCACATATATTTGCACTTAATTTGGTCTCATTTTTATCATAACATTTTATTCATTTCAAATATACTAATGTAGGCGACCTAAAGTAGTTCTGTAAGATGCATGCACTTATTAACTTAGAGTTATTTAGGCAATTCTATTAATCAAAATCGTTAACTATTGATAGAGAAAAGATTTTGATTTTATTTGATTTCACATTTGATAATACTGTATTGAGTTGTAGCGTCAAATTCCGATTATCTTAACAAAATAAACAAGTAGTTAATTTAGTCTGATCTAATTCTGGTGAAGAGGGAAAAAAGCACACTTTAGCTTAGTTTAAAAAAAGAGTTATTACAGAAATAATATACTATAAAAGAATATAATTAAGTGCAAACTGAATGTAATATTTACGAACACTTAATTCCACGTTACTTACAATTAAATGAAAATCTATTATAGTTTAAATTTATATTAAATGCAATTTATAAATCTTTATGTGTCATTTCACAATTCCTTCTATTGTCTCTGAAATATGGTTAAAGTGTAATCTCTCTTCCTTCTTTTGTTTATTTATAAAGCACTTTCAACGCAACTCAAGGTTGACACAAAGTGCTGTACAATACAACTGAAATCGGATACAATACAAATACAACAATACAAAAAAACACAACACAACACAATACAAAACATTATACCTGGTTGAAAGCTAATGATAAAAGGTGTTTTTTAAGTAAATACTTAAAAATTGGTAGAGAGGAAGCATTTTTAACCGAAGTTGGTAAATTATTTCAAGGACTGACCAACAACAGCAAGTGGGTATTGTAACTTAAAGCTGCAGTCCGAAGTTTTTCCTCTTTGTCGCCATCTCTGTTCGAAATCTGCCATTGCAGTCATTTGCGGAATTATCAACTTTACGTGAGTTGTACTTCAACACCCTCTACACGGCACAGCGCGGAAGAACACTTTTGAGGAGAGTGTGAGGCTGTCAGTCACCGCGCCGGTGTCGATACTGGCATTCAGAATCACAGATTATTATTTTTGGAAGTATGACCAACATAATAATTTTCACCGGAAAATGTCATCTGAACAATTAAGTAAGTAACATCCACTTTTGTTCTGACCAACCAAGGGAAAAAAGCATTGCAGTAAATCGTGCTAATTAAATCTAAAGATCGCTTATCATATCACGTCAAACCGTGCAAATTATACTTTGTTCTCAAATTGTTCATTTTAACAACATCAGCATTGTGTGACTTAATGTGTATTAGGTCAGTTTACTATAGTGTACTATAGTTCAGTTTCCAGTTCTCTGCAGTCTTTCTAATTGTCATACCAACAAATTAATGTTCCTTAGAACTGGTTCTCTTTGAAATATAAACACACGTATAATCATGCATATTTAAAACTGGAATATAATCAATCATTTCAAAAGCCCTTCTGATATTTATCCTTTGTTTTCACATGGGCCCGGTTGCAGTCTCTTTTTTTTTCTGTAGCTAAGCCACTCCGAAGTCTTTTGCATTTTACAACGGGTGAATCTGTTGTCACTGGTGATTGTCGTTTGAACCTTTCTGGATCCGCCATCAAATTAATAAGTTTAATTATATCAAGTGCTGTGAGAAAAGGCTATAAATCTCCACCTCCAGCATCCTCCCGCAATATAGCCTACTAGCCGAGACTCTTCTTTATGTGTACAGATGTGACGTAATGACGCAAAAACATGCTCAAATTTCCCGCGGAAATCCACCAGTAGGCCTACCACTGGAATTAAAAACATTATTACAAGCTTACCGTTTTGAATCGAGCTACGGCAAGCAAAGAGTTATGAACACTGACTGGTTATGTACTTGCTCAAAAAATTATTTTGGATCATTTTTAACCCAAAAAGACTGCAGCTTTAACTACATTTTAATGTAATTTTAATTTAAACTTGTATGTCATGTATTGTAACTGCAGAATTGTAAAAATTACATTGACTTTAAACATTATATCAAAATACACACTAGGCCTACAGTTAAAATTATAATCAAGTACTTTATATGTGCTTTAGTATTTTAGTCAGTTTTGTCATTCATCAAAGAAGCATTGCAGATCATTGAAACGTAATAATTTAAAATGTACTTAGTTGTTAAGAAATCATTGTCGAAAGCACACTTAAAGATAATATTGTCACGGACATTCAGTTATTTTTTAGTTTATAATGGACTCTTAGTTCGTTTTCATTGGTCTCCTGTTCTCCTTTGTCTAGGTTCCCACCACCTTTTACTTGTCATGGCTATTCATTAATTATCACAGGTTTTTATCATTTGTCCCTCATTTACCTTTGTATTTAGTTTCGTTCAGTGCACTCCTCAGTTGTCTGTTGTTGCTTTTGTTTTACACACTATACACTTCTTGAATTATATTTGAGTCGTTTAAATAAACTTTGTCTGATTTTTATCATCATCTTCCTCTTTGGACTATATCGTGACAAATATAATATTAATGACTTTTAGTCATTAATATTATATTATCGGCTAATGCCCCTTTTTTTAAAATATACTTTTAAGATCTGAAGTTCCCTAAAAGTGCACACACACTTAACACAATTCTTTTTCACAAGGGAAATGCTAGACAAATGTGGGTAAAGCACTATATTTTACAGCCCTGTTCCGCATGTACATACTTGTTATAGTAATTATAATAACTGGGTAATGACTAGATAACAACCCTGAACCTACCCCTAAACCTAACCTTAATGTAGTTACCTTATATTACCATAAGTGTACGTAGGCTATAATAAAGTGTGCAACCCAAATGTGTGCAAATTGGCCCCATGCACAGTATTAGTTATTACGTTTTAAGTATTACGTTTCTGTTATGAATAAAGCAGGGAAACCAGGCGTACTCACCAGAGCTCTGGCTTTCATCAGCACACTGCACAGCACAAAAGCCACGGCGACCTCCACTGACAACATGCTTAACCCAAGACCTTTGACCTTTTCCAGAACTTCTGCTCACCAGAGAGCTCCTCTTACTTTTCAGGACATGGTGGTCTCATCGAGGTGCAGAGAACAGAAGTCTGTAGCCATTCGCCGATTTATTGTTATTCTGACGCTGTTGTGTCCACCAGTGATTCATCTGTTGGAGTCTGACAAGTATGTTGTTTTAGCTGAGGTTAATTTATGGAATAACTGGATACACTTACATGCAGGCAAATTTCAAAAAAGTAAAATCCCCCTTTTTTTATAAAGTAAAAAAACAAATCAAGTAGAAGATGACAAATGAACGCTCTTTACCTATCAAAGAAGATATTCTTCCATTTCTCCGATTCTTGTTTTTTTCTTCTTCTAAACTCTTATCCTTGATTGAAGATGAGACTTTCATTTGGAGATCTGTTAAAGAGAGACTTGTCTGCCATTGTAGAGATGTGATCTCCTGCACGTGAGTATGTGTTGTGAGAGTGTTCAGCGAGGTTATTAGTGTGATGGTCATCACTGGCCCTCGGCTGTTGGGCTCCACCACTGTTTATCATGTGGGGTGGGCATGAAGAATGTTAACCCTTCACTGTCATGAGAAGACAAAGCCCTGACCCTCCTAATTACAAAGGTTTCTTTTTTTCTAAGCCCACTCCTGCAAATACATTACGAACACACTTCTTTATATGTGGCTCTGGAATACTAGATTGTGACTGTTCATTGCATTAAAATATTTATAAATTGTATAACTGAGCCTCTTGTATCCCTGCATGCTCTTTTTCTACTAACATGAATGTACTCACAAGTAGGATAAACAGTGAAACCAGATAACCCATAACCTTCCCCTTCAGTGATCACCCTGACCAAGTTTATTTTGGAATAATAACTGGCTAATTGCACCTACAATATCCATGGCTGCTTACTGTATTTCCTGGCTTTGTGTGAAGAAAACAATGAACAAAACCATTTTCTTAGTATCACTGATATACTATTATAGTTTTTACTAATATCTTGAATTAGTGTGTGTGTGTTTCCTTCTTTCTTAATATGTGTTTATAGTTTTATTTAATTTTATTTCAGTTTTAGGGTTAATACATCAAGTTAAACTGAAAATGAAACTGAGAAATATCGCCATGGTAACTATAGCTGAAATAAAAGAAGTTTCAGTTTTTTATACAATTATTTTATTCCAATTAACATTATTTTTATTTCATGTAGGCTAGCCTAACGAAAAACTTACTGAAGAAATCGTCACTCGCTCTGAGACGCGAATAGCTGTGTCGGATTCATGAACGAGCTGAATCTTTTGAACTAATCTGTTTAATAGGTTCACAAATCACGATTAATTTGTGAATTGGACCAATTCGATTGCAGCTGTTCTCGAGTTAACACCTCACTAATTCAAATGATTCAGTAAGATCAAGTCTCCAGTCAACAAACTCAAAATGATCCAAGAACCGGGAGATCCTTGGAGCTTAAGTGCTCATTTTAGGTTCTATTATTATAAATGAAAATCATATTTAGGTCACGACTGTTATTTGTTTGTGAACTAAATTTGCTGTAAAAGGGTTTAAGCCCATTGTATGAAATGCTTATTGTAGACATCAGGACATGTCCAGATAGCACAGGTATGCTGCCAGATTCTGGAAAGCATCTGCTGTTTACTAACATCTGATAGACGTCTTTAAGATGTCAGTTTTACATACATTCTAAACCATAAATATCTTAAAGAAATTTTCTAAACGTTTATTTGACATCTGTCAGGAAACGTTCTATAGGCGTATTGCAGATGAGCAAACTCTCTAAAAAATACGTCTTCCAGATGTAAACAAGCACATCAAATAGACGACTCCATGATGTCATGTGCTATCAAGTCTGAACGGGGAATGTTTTAGGTAAAAACATAACGTAAAAATACCGCAAATTATGCTCATGCATCTTCCGCGTTCAAATGATGTAAAACTAATGTTATAGCGTTCTTACAATGTTAACACATTTTGTCCCATGTGACGTTTTTGTATGTTTATATTTTGTCAACAACACGCATTATGTTTTTCCTCATTTCTATATGGAATTTCTACTTTCAGTTGTTTGCACACTTGAATTATCAGTAATTATCAGTACACTGATAAAAAAAAAAAAGATTTTGTGGTGAAGTAAATACTACAGAAAAAAAACAATGTAATTTACATGAAAAAGTAAGTTCAGGCAAGAATAAAAAAAAACTAAGTAAATTCTATATTAGTACTCAATTCAAGCGTGTAGAAATGAAAGCGCAAATATCAACGTTATAAAATTAAGTAAAATTACTCAACTTTTCTGGTACTGGTGTTCCCATCATGCACTGGGCCTTGAATAATTAATGATGTTGATTTGTCACTGTTTTCCAGCTGTATTTACCATTGCTTTTGTTGTTAGGATTGGTAACTTGCCATTTTGTAACATTTGGAGTTCATTTAATGACACATTCAAACACAAAAACGAGTGTATTGTGTAAGTATTGAGTTCTCTGCGTTCACACGACATTTAACCTCTACACTGATATATGGTGTCTCACACAATATATGTTGTATTAGTTACTTAGATGTTTCTAAGTAAAGCATATATTTTAAAAGTATGGTTTAAGTCAATGTTTTATTGTTTGAGTGAAATGTATTCCAAAGGAAACTTTAACTAAATAGATGTTACTCAACCTTAGCCAAGTTAAAATTACTTTTTTTCTTTGTTGCTTTCACTTAACTTAGTTAAGTAGAGTTTACTTAAAGGTGCAGTGTGTAGATTTTAGCGGCATCTAGCGGTTCGGTTGCGAGTTGCACTAATGGCTCAGCCCACTGCTCACCCCTCCCTTTCGAAGAAGCTACGGTTGCTAAAACGGGACAAACATATCATCGTCTGAGACAGCAGAGAATAGCCAGAGTAAGCCAAGTTTCTGTACCACAGTCCATTATAAACCACATCATGGATAAAGTTTACAAAGCCATAGTCAGGTGAGGATCAAGGGTCTTAATATATAATATAATAATAGTAATCAGCTGATTGTCTCACGAACGTAACCAGCACATTTCTCCCCACATAGCAAACCCATAATACAGCGAGGGAGAAGAACCACATGAAACTATCCAACTACATATTTTTTTCTAACAGGGTAGTAAAAGTTTAGCTGGCTAATATGAGCTGTTATGCTGTAGGGCTGTGGCTGAGCTGGTTAAAGCGTAAAGCATTGTTTATACTCGACGCGTATAGTACTGTAGCAATAGTACAAATCAGCTGATTGTCAAAGCCATAACACAGCGAGAGAGAAGAACTAAGTTACATGAAACAATCCAACTACATATTTTACACCACTGACAAGGGAAAAGTCACTACTCACGGTTCTGCGGCTTCTCTTTCAAGGTAGTGACGAAACGCGCTCTGTATCGCTGTTTCTTCGCTGTCGGCTACGGTATACATGACGTCACAATATGTCGACCTTCATAGAAGCGGGTGCCCGCGGTTATGTAGATATAAATGTCTCATTCTAAGGTAATAAAAACATAACGGTTCATTGAGTAAGGTCTTTATACACCGCTGAACACATAGTTATGGATCTTATATTGCATTTCTGTCAATAGATCCTCAGAAATATTACACATTGCACCTTTAATTCTATATGTGAAATTTACTTTAAAAAATATGCCTGCAAAAACTTGCCAAAGAAAAATTAAGTAAATTTAACTTCTTTTTTTCTTTTTTTTTTTTTACTAAGCCTAGTTATCAGTGTATGACAAGAATAGTTAATAAAATAAAAGGTTTTCTGAAAGCAACTTGCACTGACATATCTTAAAATATGTCGGTGCCATTGTTTTGTCTCTATATGCACCGCAGTATTGTGTAAGGTTTTTTTAAGACATGTTTATAAAATCTACTTAAATGCCCTAATTGAACTGGCCTAATCCTGGTTTAGTCTTAGCCCTGTCTGTGGAACATATATATACCGGTAATATATATATATATATATATATATTGGCCTGCCATTAAGTTTCTGCATAATCTTCCTTATTGACTAGTCGTACAAGTACATTATATTATATTATATTATATTATATTATATTATATTATATTATATTATATTATATTATATTATATTATATTATATTATATTATACAATTTTAACTTTCTGTAGAATGTGGAGTGAAATATATTACTGAAAAAATGTACATAGAAATAATCCTAAACACATTCAAAATTTGAGAACGATCCATATGAGTGCACTTAAGGACTTTTATTTTGGCATTAGTTTGTTCACCGGTAATGACGCTTGCAGTGTTGCTTACTCTTGGGCTCGTGTGGGATAAATTAGCCCTGCAAAAGACAACAACTATGGCATAATTTTACGTTACCATTTAGTTTATTTACGCTAATAACGAGCACGGAATATATTGAATAACTGTCGTAAAACGTTATTGAAACTATCCGGTTTTTTACAGTCTCTGGTTAAAACGTGCATGTTGAAGCTCAAGACCTGTAAGCCTTAACGTTACAGCATGACATTTTAAAGTTCGACCAAAGTCATTTGATTTTGGACACATAACGTTACTTCTGTTTAGAGAAGGAAGGACAGTGTTAGGAGACATGATGCTGAGCGCTTTCAGACTGACAGTGAGAGTGTCTTCAGCGGTTCAGAGAGCCTGTCAGTGTTCAGCTAGAGCACTGCACTCGAGCCCTGTGCTCTGGGCAGGACACAACAAATGGTCCAAAGTGAAGGACATTAAAATACCCAAAGATGCTGCTCGAGCCCGTATGATTGCTAAGTTCACCATGATGATTAGGATTGCAGTCAGAGGTGAATGCATTAGATTTGACTGAAAAATTGCCATTATCCAATCTGCCACTAACCAACAAGTATGGTAATACCATGGTATTCTTTAATGTACCATGGGGCTCTTGTTTTTTTCCATGTAATGAACCTAGTATTTACTATGTGATCTGGTATAATCACTGTACCGTGGTTCCACTACACTTGTGCATGCTGAGATGACCCTGTGCTTGTGTTTCAGAGGGAGGACCCAAACCAGAATTTAATGTTGCATTGGCACAACTTCTAGAGCAATGTCGGAACAAGAATCTTCCGAAAGCCACCGTAGAAGGAGCTATAAAAGGAGCCGTAAGGCACATTTTACCATTCGAAATAATACTATATACATTTCTTAATCATTTATTTATATATATATATATATATATATATACACACACATATATCATGATTAAGAAATGTAGGTTTTCACCCTCACCCGTCCCTCATACAGTTACTTTTATCCCCCTACATACTTGAATTTGTGTTTATATATACAGTATAACATAGTTTATAAGATTCTACATCTATGCTGCATTTATTTGATAAAATACAGTAATATGTGAAATATGATTATTATTTTAAAATGTAATTTATTCCTGTGATAACAAAGCTGAATTTTCAGCATCATTACTTCAGTCAGTGTCATCATGATCCTTCAGAAATCATTCTAATATGCTGATTTGCTGCTCAAGAAACTTTTCTGGTTATTATCAATGTTGAAAACAATTTTTGCTGTTTAATATTTTCATGGAAACTGTGTTACAGTACCATTCAAAGGTTTGTGGTAAGTACGATTTAAAGAAAGAAAGACAGGGCAACGTATTACAGTTTTTTACAATCACTTTGCTACTATTTTCAGAACCTTGATGTCATTTTTCAAAACTCTAGACACAAAACTCAAAACGATAATCACTTGTAACACAGGCTGTCTAATGTTCAAAACATTGCATTGTGCATTCACATCTTTAAAGAAATCTTGCACTTGCACAATCATTGGTTCAAAAAACAAATTAACTGTGAAATACCATTGAAACATAACTATAGATCACCCACACACAAGCAACCGATAGTTTCACTGTGTCATTGTTCGTACAATCATTAAATATTGTAGAGCAAAATAGGTGATACAGGTTTCATTATGGTACTACATGTACAGTAAATACATCTCTGTAAAAGTACTGCAGTAGTAGAGAGAATATTACAGACACAGTGGAATCATTGTGAACAAAGTTTGTAATATATTGATGCAAAACACTACAGTACAATCACAACATGGTTTTTTGAATCAAAGCAAAAATAATTAGCTATGAAATAGAAAAGAAAAGACAGTACTGTAAAACATCAAATGCAGTGTTCCTCAACTTGCTGTAAGAAACTAAACAGGAGTGATTACTGTACTTCTACACTGTCATCAACTCTGTGTTGTGGATTTGGCCACAGGTTCTCATCTACATCACAATGGATGTTGGAAAATGACATCTTGGAAAAAACCTTTGGCATGGCGAGTCCAGGCCTGACACTGCTCTGCTGTGATTGGCAGAATTGGACACGCAGTTACAAGGGCCTGCATCTATACAGTACTGTACTGTCAATACTGTACATAGTCTGAAAAGGTGGTACAGTATTTGGCACCATAGACACAGTGTCTGATGAAGCATTACAGTATGATAAAATATTAGGCTACATCCATGGATATTGTAGTCTATTTGGTTCATGCCATGCTAATTGGTGACAATGAATCTCATTATCTTGAAACTTTCATGATTTACTGTAAACATGGAAGATTGTGTGTCTGTTTCCATACAACTATGCATTAAGAGTAATGCAACAGTTACTTATCATTTTGAGCAGTTGTATCAATTGATAGTTAGATCATTGTAAGGAAATGAATAGACACTCATTTGAAATGTAATGTGTGAATTGCCTTTTGAAATAGTAGTACTTTGATGTTAAGTTGTGTCATATTGAACAGGTGATCTTTGTTGAATGAACAAATGATCTAAGTTTTATGTGTATTGTATCCAAGCAATTGAGAAAAGGGTTAGAGTTTTGAAAAATGTGCTTTTTGATCATTGGTTGTGAGTTTTGTGTCTAGAGTTGTGAAAAATGACATCAAGGTTCTGAAAATAGTAACAAAGTGATTGTAAAAAACTGTAAATTGAACAAAATAAATTGAACAAAAAAGGGCAGTAAAGACATTTATAATGTAACAAAAGATTTCTATTTTAAATAAATGCTTTTCTTTTAAACAGTGTTCAAAAAAGAAACCTGGGGGTAAAAATGTATTCTGGTTGGTATGTATTAGGAAGCAAAAATTGTTTTCAACATTGATAATAATCAGAAAAGTTTCTTGAGCAGCAAATCAGCATATTAGAATGATTTCTGAAGGATCACGTGAGACTGGAGTAATGATGCTGAAAATTCAGCTTTGCCATCAGAGGCATAAATTACATTTTAAAAAATATATAAAAAAAGGAAAACAGTTATTTTAAATTGTTATAATATTACTGTTTTTACTGTATTTTTGATCAAATAAATGCAGCCTTAATATGAGCAAAGAGACTTTGAAAAACCTAAAAAATATTGTGTTTATATATGTTTATATATATATATATATATATGGAATGATTAAGAATGAGGTTTTAACAAGATTTGAATAAATAATTTCGCCAAAAATTACAAATCTGTCAGTAATGATTTACTCACCTACATACCGTTCTGTTTGTTTCCATACAGCAATCGCTAGAAAATAAAATCTTTCAAAAATGCTCTAGAATTTTCTATTCAGTTAATCATGCATTGATGAAATGTCAGCATTAACTGGAAGTCTTTTGCCTTTTTTTAATGTCTAATAGAAGTCAAAACCAGGAGTACAGTGTCTTTATGAGGCCACAGGACCGGGCGGGTGCACGCTACTCATTGAGGTTTTGACTGACAACAACACACGATCCCACAGGGAACTTAAACATATCATGACGAAACATGGGTTAGTACTGATGAGTTGGGAAGATAATAAGATATAAGTAGGTATATGGTATATATGCCTAGTTTTACAGACAGGTCTTAGATTAAGCCAGGATTAGGCCTTAGTTCAATAAGGACATTAAACTAGCTTTTATAAACATGCCTTAGAAAAAAACATTACTGATGTGCATCTTGAGACAAATCAATAACACTGACATATTTTAAGATTTGTCAGTGCGAGTTGGTTTCAGTTAAAACAGCTCAAACATGCATTTTATTGTGGGACTTGCTTAAGCCTTGGATGTGTAACTAGGCAAAGAAGTAAAAGTACTTAAGCACAATTAAATCTACATCTTTTCTCTGTTTGTCCACAGCGGGGCGCTGTGTGAAGGAGCGCGCCGTAACTTTGACAGGAAAGGTATTGTGGCAGCGTCCAGAGATGGGATCTCCTCTGAGAAAGCTCTAGAACTGGCCATTGAGGCAGGAGCTGAAGATGTGCAGGAGACGGAGGATGAGGAGGAGAGACCCATCCTACAGGTCTGAGCACTCTCTCTTAACTGGATTGTACAAAATTCAGAATCGAAGGATTTAAATCTGCCTTGAAATTCATCAGTGTGAATTTGAATTTCCTTGGCAAACATGCCCCAAAAGGATGGACATTTAAATTGGATTTACAGGAAGAGGAGTTTGATCATTTATTAATTCGCAACAGTCACAAAACAAAGGAAGTTGTAGTTTTATAACAAATTGACTAATTATGCTTATGTATTCCCTGAAATGTGGAATGCATGCATTAAATATATCTGATCAGTCAAGAAACAATGATAGTTGTTTTAATACTGTATATATAATAATACTGTCAAAATAATAAACAAAAATAAAAAATCAAGTAAGATTTTATTGGTAACACTTTACAATAAGGTTCATTAGTTAACATTATTTAATGTATTAAGGAACACAAACTAACCATGAGTAATCCATTTGTTACTGTATTTCTTCATCTTTGTTAACGTTAGTTAATACAAATAAAGCTGTTCATTGTTAGTTCATGTTAGTTCACAGTGCATTATCTAATGTTAACAAGATTTTAATAAAGTATTAGTAAATGTTGAAATTAACATAGATTAATAAATGCTGTATTTGTGCAGTTCATTATTAGTTCATGCTAACTAATGTAGTTAACTAATGTTTACTAATGAACCTTATCGTAAAGTGTTACCATTTTATTTTTGCTGTAAATCACAAAAATGTCCAACACATTATTTTCATATAAATTTATAAAAACTAAATGTGTTCATTATATTGATGCATAACCACACAGGTCAATTAAATATTATACGTTTTGAAAATTAAATACAAATCACTATTTATGGCATTTTATACATTGATTACTAAAGACCCCCTGTGGTGAAAATCAGGTTTTTAACATTGTTAATGTCTATGGGGTGACAAATCATGTGCAAATTCATAAGTCAACACCATCGCTGAGTATTTTCTCCTTAAAACTGCAGTGAACCAAAGAAAGTCTCAAAAACACAGTTTGAAACTGCCCCTGTTGCGGGGCTTTTCCACAGTGAGCACAAGAACACCTTTAAGAAGGGACAGGAAAAATAGGGCACATATAGCAATATAGCGGGTGAATTATGTATATGATGTTACGATGTTGTGATGAACTATATGCCCTTCTCTACTGAATTTCTATGATGTTCAAAGTGTTTCTAAGGATGCTGATTTTTAGAAGGCAGCTGATTGACTGGTTTGTGTAACATTAGAAACACATTATTAGCTGTTTGTTAATGTAGTGCGTCTGACGTTGTAGAGATCGATACATAATACACATTTCCATTCTGATACATCTGATGCATAGACAACCCTGTATAATTCACTCTTCCTCTTCTTCTTCTGAATCAGTTTCTGGTTCAAGCATGGATGGCTGAATTAAACCAATATTTCCACTTGCCATTGTGTAGAGTAGTTTACTACAGCTGACCCATTGAGTGGAGGAGGCCGGGACTAATTTGTATATCAGAGATTTTTATTTCAGTGATGTTATACTGTATACCTCCTGTTTACATATTGCCAGTAATTAGAGGATTGTGTAGAATTTGTCAGGAGAAATTGTCTCAATTATTAATAACCATCTGTCCCTTTCAGTTTGTCTGTGACATGACGTCTATGAAGGCTGTGCGGAATGCTCTAGAAAGTCTGGGCATTCACACACTGTCAGCCGGACTGGAGTTTGTTCCTCACACCCCCTCTCTCCTGACTCAGACTCAGCTAGAGACAGCGTTCACCCTGCTGGAGGCTGTCAATGACCACCCTGATGTGGTCCGGGTATGGGAAAACATCCACACACAGAACTAGTGTTCACCGTACTGTAAGTCACAGATAGATGGACTAAGTAATGCTCTACATGCCTTAAGAGCAACTGGAACAAAAAGGACCTGCTTGGCCAAATTTGATTGGACTTTACTTGGATTTATTGTGTGATGATTAAATGCTTGATTGACCTTGTTGATATATCTTCATCATGGCAATAAAGAAGACATTAGTCATAGATGTGTATCATTTTGAGTGGCATTATACTGAATGTTGTGATCATAAAACCTTTGTTATAAGTTAAGATTAGGCACTAATCACAATTGAAATATCATTAAAAAAAAAAAGTATAAAAAGAGATAGAAAGGCAACTTGCAATGACTTTTTCCCAGAATCTGAAAAAAAAGGGAAAACAAAGCTGCTCTATGCAAATGTTTATTGACCAGTGAGAATCAGGGTCAGGAATTAATCTTGGCTTGGGGCAAAAATGACACAGGAAGTGGAAAAAAAACTGCCCCAGATATTTAAAATTCGAGCTGAATTTCTCATTTAAACATTTGATAGTTTTCATAATATTCTTGGCATGTCTAGTTATGGGTTTAGTACCTTGGCAGACACTGTATTGTTCTGCAGCTGTCACATATCTGTATTCACTGTTTCAGAGGCGAATGTTGTCGGATGTATTGCTACTATGAAGTGATTTTTGATGAGCTAATGGGGAAAAAATCCAAATAATTCCAAAACCTGACACCACGTGTTTTGAAATTACATCACAACCTACAACACTGGAACCAGACAATTATTTCAAATGTATTCTAGCAGAGCGTTTACCATGTTATGGTATCATATTTTCAGCAACTTTTGTATTTGATAATAATTTCATTTTCAGTTTTGTGTTTTTGATAAGGTTAGAAAACAAATTCAAATCCAGAGGTCATATATTGCTCCTTATTAAAAAACAAAAAAATGTTACATACAAGCTGTGTTTAAAATAGTAATGGTGTGTTCAAGTCATGTCGGAGAGATTTTATTTACGAGTTGAAAACACATGAAAGGCAGCACAATGTCGTAATTACGAGTGAGAAACTCTGAACATTGCGTTTGAACCGTGGCAGTGAGAAAATATGGGGGACACAATAGCATGTGCATTAATGGTAAATTAGTTGAAATTATTGAAATTATATATTTTTTTAATTTAAAATAAAACTATCTAAGTTGCATGTACAAAATACGACAGTATTGTACAATTACGATTCAATTTAAAGCACCTTCATAAATTGAATAAAAACATAGAGATTCTTTATTCATCATTTTGTAAAAGTAGAGTTAAAAGTTTTGTAGAAAATATTCATTGTAATTGTGCTCTGACTTAAGTGACACACCAGATGTCATAAATACGAAATTCCCTGGAGAACCTGAACGAAACTTAAGTTCTTCCATCTATGAAGATATTAGACTTTGTGTCATAATTAATGGCCTTCATTTGGTACCTCATTATCAGACATAACTATGAATATAGCAATAAATATGCATATACAGTAGTAATACAGACTTGGCGTCCTGTGCGTAACCCAAATCATGGCCAGTCAGTTCTCAGAAAATCCTGTTTCACTGATCAAGGCCACTTCCTGTCTTTAGTGATAGAATAATGATGAGTTATCAATAGGTCAATGTAAAGCCCCATCAAAGGCCTAGAGTTCAATCTATATGTGATGTGAATATTGATCCAACACTGAGTCTCTTCCCATTCGCATATTCATTTTTTTCTGGTAAGAGGTTGGTCCTGAAGGCAAAAGCACTCTGTTGATTCAACAGAGTCTGAAAACGCCAATAAGAAATAATTGTGCCTTCATGAACTTGTTTGATTGTGACGTGATTGATTTGTCTAAGAGTAGCCGCTGCCGCAGCATATGCAGCTGACTGGTTCACACTGACAGGTTTTTGTCCATGTGAGGGTTTGTTTGTCGATGTTCTGGGTCGAGTCACGAGAGGACGACCCTATCAGAGATTTCAATGTGTTTGTACAGGAAGGGCATGTGGATTATGTACCATATGAAGTTGGGTCTGTAACAGATTGCCCTGGCGGGTAACGGCGAGAACTGACAAAATGCAGCACTTCCACGGTAAGAGAGAGTCTATTATATAACTTTACTGTACAGTGAGTGTCTCTCGGTTAAGGTCAGATGTAGAACGGAGACCCCAACAGTGACGTAGGAGGAGCTTCCATCGTGAAGACACTGTTTCTTTACAGGAGGAACATTAATTGAAACCAGAACGGGACATTAAAAAAAAAAAAAAAATCTCACAAAACTGTTAAAGATGTGATTTTGCTCATTTTTCTGGATGGATTTTCACATGAAGCTATTTCTCTGGATACCGAATTTCTGATACAGAATTTGCTTTCATGAGTGGATGATATTATTGTTCTATTATTATTTAATGTGAAGTTAACACTATTTGGGACAAACAGCAACTATTACAGTAGTAAGTGGATTTTCTTTTGTTAAGGGGAGTAGCCTGGTTCTTCAAATGTATAATTATTATTATTATTTTTTTTTTATGTGGCTATAGGTCATTTCATCTAAGAGATCTTCTTAATATCTTAAATGTTTTTTCTTGACACCAATGAAATTAAAAGTGCAAATGTAGTCTCCTGCTTCTCAGATGTTCTTCCTGAGAAAAAGACTAATCTCATATTCTGTTGTGCTTCAGATGTTCTTAATACTTTTTTAACAAAATATCAAAGTCTAAGAACATCTAGCATCTCATCAAATCCTTCCAAGATCATATTATCTGAGCCACGCTATCTACATTAATATACTACACCTGAATATCAGCAATTGACTTGTGTGTCGACTGTACTGTTTTTTTCTCCCAAGAGATTTCTGGGGAAATATCTGAGACAAAGTTGATAGACTCCAGACCGAACTCATTTTAACCCTGCCTTGTTCTTACAAAACAAAATACCAAAGTCTAAGAACATCTAGCATCTCATCAAATCCTTCCAAGATCATATTATCTGAGCCACGCTATCTACATTAATATACTACACCTGAATATCAGCAATTGACTTGTGTGTCGACTGTACTGTTTTTTTCTCCCAAGAGATTTCTGGGGAAATATCTGAGACAAAGTTGATAGACTCCAGACCGAACTCATTTTAACCCTGCCTTGTTCTTACATTTTAATATAGTTCTTTATATAAAATGTATGTATCAAAATGTAATATTGGGGGCATTATCTTTCTTTGAATTGTATATAATATAAATTCAATTTATATCAAATATATTTTATATTAAATATTTAAAAATATATTTAATTGATATTTATAAAACATTTTTAAATAATTTATAAATAAAATTACTGTATTTTCTGTTTACACACACACATATATATATATATATATATATATACACTCACCGGCCACTTTATTAGGTACCCCATGCTAGTAACGGGTTGGACCCCCTTTTGCCTTCAGAACTGCCTCAATTCTTCGTGGCATAGATTCAACAAGGTGCTGGAAGCATTCCTCAGGGAGTTTGGTCCATATTGACATGATGGCATCACACAGTTGCCGCAGATTTGTCGGCTGCACATCCATGATGCGAATCTCCCGTTCCACCACATCCCAAAGATGCTCTATTGGGTTGAGATCTGGTGACTGTGGAGGCCATTTTAGTACAGTGAACTCATTGTCATGTTCAAGAAACCAATTTGAAATGATTAGAGCTTTGTGACATGGTGGAAGTAGCCATCAGAGGATGGGTACATGGTGGCCATAAAGGGATGGACATGGTCAGAAACAATGCTCAGGTAGGCCGTGGCATTTAAACGATGCCCAATTGGCACTAAGGGGCCTAAAGTGTGCCAGGAAAACATCCCCCACACCATTACACCACCACCACCAGCCTGCACAGTGGTAACAAGGCATGATGGTTCCATGTTCTCATTCTGTTTACGCCAAATTCTGACTCTAACATCTGAATGTCTCAACAGAAATCGAGACTCATCAGACCAGGCAACATTTTTCCAGTCTTCAACTGTTCAATTTTGGTGAGCTCTTGCAAATTGTAGCCTCTTTTTCCTATTTGTAGTGGAGATGAGTGGTACCCGGTGGAGTCTTCTGCTGTTGTAGCCCATCCGCCTCAAGGTTGTGCGTGTTGTGGCTTCACAAATGCTTTGCTGCATACCTCGGTTGTAACGAGTGGTTATTTCAGTCACTGTTGCCCTTCTATCAGCTCGAACCAGTCTGGCCATTCTCCTCTGACCTCTGGCATCAACAAGGCATTTCCGCCCACAGAACTGCCGCTCACTGGATGTTTTTTCTTTTTCGGACCATTCTCTGTAAACCCTAGAGATGGTTGTGCGTGAAAATCCCAGTAGATTAGCAGTTTCTGAAATACTCAGACCAGCCCTTCTGGCACCAACAATCATGCCACGTTCAAAGTCACTCAAATCACCTTTCTTCCCCATACTGATGCTCGGTTTGAACTGCAGGAGATTGTCTTGACCATGTCTACATGCCTAAATGCACTGAGTTGCCGCCATGTGATTGGCTGCTTAGAAATTAAGTGTTAACGAGCAGTTGGACAGGTGTACCTAATAAAGTGGCCGGTGAGTGTATATATATATATATATATATATATAGGCCTATAAAATTATATGTATATATATATATACAAATACATTTTTACTAAATTATATATATATATATATGTGTGTGTTTAGTAAAATGTCATCCATTAAATCTCTGCTCTGAATTCAATCCATTTTTTTTCTTTTATCATAAAGGCTTGAAGACAAGTTTGTGGAACTCTACCACCAGCTCTGAGCGGATGAAAGCTTTAAACCGATTCCCTTCATTCAGTCTAAACTTGCGTCGATCCAATCACTCCACGGCACACTGCAACATTGAGCTTGTTACGCCAAAGGTGAAGGAGCGCACACAGTATGTGACAGAGAAGTTCACGCAGGTAGGATGCATTGTTGGGCTTGCTTTATATCTTAGATGAAGATCTTGATATTGAAACTGTTTTTGTAAAAACTTCTGACTATTGTGCTGCTGTACAACATACTCAGATCCTCTTACATCAAAATAGTCGAGCACTTGATAGTTGATGTCTGAATAATAAAAGCAGTTGGCACATGGAAAACAATGTGGCCGAAAATCACTCGTGGAAAGATCGTTAGGACAGACACATGAACCTTTAATTCAAGAGAAATGG